AGAGACTATCCACATAAGCACCATTAAAAAGCCAATGACGAATTTCTGCAGTCTGTTTGAAATCCAACTGATCAGGGCAATAAATCTAAGGCAGCTGTTTTATTTTGGAATTACTTTTCAGGTACTAACAAAAGTTGTTTAGACACTCCGATGAAATAAACTGGGACTACTGTATCAATGACATATGCTTTAAACTTTGTTAGAACCATTACTTAATCCATGCTGAGCTCAGCACATGGCTGCAATATGAACCTAACTGCTTCATAAAAAGCTGAATACTAATACCAGCTAACTAAAACCTGCAGTTGGCACAGACTGTGAGGTAAGCATGAAAGGACAAGCCTTGCCAAACTAATACCTGTACCCTTATGTTATGCAATGTACGCGGTATTGTCATGGAATATTAGCTCTGTACAGGTATGTCTATACCCGTGTGTCTGCATACAACATTCGCTAAGAGTTTGTACCTTACAAATTCATGATATTGTAAACTAGTGACCAGTGTTTGACCAGCACTTGATTAATTGCTACTGTTAACTTCAGTTATTTTTCATCTATTTCTCAGTTTCAGATGGAAAAAACTGCTGTTGTTTTTTGTTGTCGAGTCACAGCTAACATATGGGGACTCCATAGGGTTTTCAAGGCAAGAGATGTTCAAAAGTGGTTTGCCATTGCCTGCCTCCATGTCATGACCCTGATATTGTTTGGAGGGGTCTTCCTTCCAAATGTTAGCCAGGGCCAACCCTGCTTAGCTTCCAAGATCTGATGAGATCATGCTAGCCTGGGGAATCTAGGTCAGGTTATGGGAAAACTACATTTTTTAACCTTTCCAATTTAAGAACTCAGAACATGTAATAAACAGATCGACGTAAATATTTATCTATGAATACTACTGAATCTTTACACTTTGATCCAACATAACCAACTATAGTACCATATCTTTCTCATTACATGGCTATGTATTCCAGTTTAATTTGTACAAACAGTCTGAGTGTATATGACAGAAAAAATAATACTCAAACCAAAGTCATGCATGTTTACAGTTAAGCATTTGCAAGAGCTGGGAGACTGTTATATGCCCATTACAACTATATATGGAATGAAACTGTGCGTAAAGTTGACATTACAAACAAATAGCATACCTTTAAATGGGAGTTTAAAGAGCTCTTCCATGATTGGTATGTAAATGTGTACACATGGGTATGAAATATAAAATCCATCATTTTTGCTCATGCTTTTTAAAGAAGTGGCATAATCAAGCTATAAAAAATGTCATGTTTGACCAAGTGGCACATTTTAGAACTTTAAAAGGTTACTTGATTTATTAAATCTCATCTCCTTCATACTTGGTTCCCATACAACAGAAACACAGTGAAAACCCTAAATTAGTCCCACAAAAACTTGACAATGAAAACAAAAGACCCTGACTAAAATTTTAAAATTCCCTCACCCTAAAAACCATTACGCAGACAATTTCACCCATCAAGAATATGTCAAGAATACATTGTAACACAATCTGACCCCGGCAGTGTACAATCCATGACCGGGACTGTATGTTTTGCAACATGCTTATTGTTTTTACTTAGGATACCAATATTAACCATCTAATTAAACAATACATCTTACAGAACATGGTACTGACACTTTTCATTCATCTATACCAGAAGGACAACAGAAGTACTAGACCTTGCTGCAAAGACTCAGATTAATCTTCAAGCAAACCCCAATGACCAGTCCATAGGAAAAGGTTTACAGCACCTGTAGAGTTATCATGACCCACTTATAGGAAACCGTAAAAAAAATCCTAATGGTTTTCCTTCCCTCTCAGCACTGGGTACTTCTCCAGATCATTGACCATTTTTGTTAAATACATCCTTTTTAGCAGAAATCAGTAAGGATTTCCTGCTATTAATATGAGATTCTGACCAGTCAAACAGTACATTCTTTGATTCCAAACTATAGTGACCAGACAGAAACTTAAGTCCCCTCTGGATAAGAGAAGGGCAGCATATCCTTAAACAAACAAAACAACCCTTAAAACAAAACAAAAGGGATCGCATGTCACCTAAGTGTTTCACTACCTGGCTTGCTGTGAACATGAACAAAGAAGAATAGCACTAAGAAATTCAATTATTATTACAATTGTCAGCCTTTACTAATGAGAAGGATCATAAATTCACTGAACAATCTATCTCCAAATTAGTAAGTAACCCATTCTCACTTTTCTCCTCTCCTGGGAAGCATATGAGTTAAACAAATGTAACTTCTTTCCGTATCCTCTGACATTCCACATTCTGTATATACTTTTCCTCCCACAATGTATCATAACTATGCTAACATGGCAAACCTCAAGACTAAAAGGCACTCCATGAAGGAGGTCAGCAACAGAACAGCGCCAACTGTGGACATGGAAAGGACCCATTTGTAAGAAACACTTTAAAATTCCCTCTTTTCCCCTCATTGCAGCTAGGAATGCAGAACCACTCACAACGGCAATGCAACTTCTGCACAGTGGTACCCCAGGATGCCTCCTTCTGCTCAGCATGTCCCCACCTCACTGGGTTGCTTTTTCCCAGCTTTCCCCTTCAAATGGTAGCAGGTATATAACTGTTGTATTAGTTGGCAAAAAGCCTGCTGGTGTGGGGGGTGAGGTGCTAGATGTAGCATAAGATGTGGGCAAGAATTAAGGTTGCCAACAGTCATGGGGGGAAAGTGTCCTGCTCCTTCAATAGAGGGTTACTACATGGAAATGGGTGGCTGGAGCTGTTTAGGGAACAGAGCTAAAGCAACATCACCTGACAAAACAACCCAATAAGCCTCTTTTAAAGAAACAGAACATTTTGTTCACTAGAATTTGGTAATCTTGATGACTGTACTAGAACAGGCTCGGGAACTGGGTGGCAGAGCTGGGGGAACCTGGGAGGGAAGCCCCAGAAAAAAAACAGTGTGTGTGTGGGGGGGGAACGTAGAGGAAGACCTCAATACAGAAACAACTTATCTTTACAGATTTTATCCAGTTCACATGTTCTCTCAAACTCTGAACAAGTTGCAGCTGATAGGGGCTTGAAATGACTAGACAACTGTGATGTAACACTTTTTGCACTTTGAGTCATTTCTTGTATTGCCTGACCTTTTTTTGCTATGGAAGTTACAACTGGTTGAGATTTCCCACATACTAAGGGAAACACTTTGCACCTTAATGGCTAGAAGGTACACATGAACACATGAAGCTTCCTTATCCTGAATCAGATCTTTGGTCTCTCAAAAATCAGTATTTTCTGTTCAGACTGATGGTAGCTCTCCAAGGTCTCAGGCAGAAGTCTTTCACATCACCAGCTACTTGATACTTTTAACTGGAGATGCCAGAGATTGCCTTCTGCATGCCAAGCAGATGCTCTAGCTTAGCCATGGCCCCTCCCAAAATTTGGTGGTGACCCCATAGGGTTTTCAAGGAAAGAGATTAACAGGTTTACCATCACACCTGCCTCTGTGTAGCAACCCTGGACTTTCTTGGTGCTCTCCCATCCAAGTACTAACCAGAGTTATCCCTACTTAACTTCAAAGATCTGATGAGATTAGGTTAGCCTGAGCCATTCAGGCCAATATAGCCAAAAGTATTTATTCCTAATATGTATACATCATGGAAGCATTTAATTCTATGTCCTTTACTCAAGAGAACACAAGCAGAGTTTATCAAGAACCTTCTCAGTACCGAGCTTCAATCCCAGAACATGCAATTACTACATACAAAGAAGCAAATTTCACTGATGTTGCTCCACACTACAACCAGCAGTCTGAAAGTGGAGCTACAGATCTTCTGAGTCACACTGACTAGCATTCAGGCCCTCTTATAATTATGGAAAGCTGTAAAAAATAGAAGAGAAACTGAAATTTCTACAAGTCATGCTTAATGCAGCTAAGTACTCTTTACTACTTTTGCACCTCTGTATTCACAAGCAGGAGCAGCAGTGCTAGTAGCTCCTACAATTTCTATAGGTAGAGCAGAGGCTACCGATTTTCAGGATTCTGACCATTTTACCAGGAAATGACCTCTTGCCCCAAATTGCCCCAACAGTGAACACAAGCAGGGGCGGATTAAGGCTCACTGGGGCCCTAAGCACTGACCAATCTTGGTGCCCCCCTCCTTTCCACACTGACCCAGTCCATTTTAGTTGTTGACCCGTCTGACCAGATATACAATGCAGGCTGCAGCAATACAAACATTTATTCATATGACAATTCAACATACTGAACAAACTAAGCTTTACACCCTTTTCCCAACTTTGCGGTGCCCCCTTTGGCACTGGTGCCCTAAGCACGTGCTTAATCTGCCCCTGAACACAAGAAAACAGCCCATAGTTAACTTGTAAAAGGAGCCGGTACAGTTGGCAGGGCCAGTTCAAGTATTCTGTGTCACCCCAACTACAGTACAGCCACTGCATTCTTCCATCCCACTGCTGGCCAGGCTCAAGCCAGGCCACTGTGATAACAGTGCAGGACTCGGCTCAGAGGCGTTACCTGAAACTATGTCAGTCACATCCTGCATCGCCAAGGCCAGAGTGAGCCAAGCTCTTCTGCTCAGGCCACTGGCTACTTGTGACCTGGACATTCCCCCCTTGCCCATGTAGACCGTAAGGTTATCAAGAATTCAGAAGGAAGAAGTAAGGGTCTCTGCAGGAGAGGTCAAAGGGTCCCTCCTCCTTTAAAAAAACCAGAGTCACTCAGAGCTTGGTGAGACCACTGCCTGACCCTGAAAGTACATAAGAACATAAGAGATGCCAATGTTGGATCAGGCCAATGGCCCATCCAGTCCAACACTGTATCACACAGTGGCCAGAAATACCAGTGCCATCAGGAGGTCCACCAGTGGGGGCCAGGACATTAGAAGCCCTCCCACTGTTGACACCCCCCCCCCCAAGCACCAAGAAGTCAGTCTCTGGCGTCGGCCCTTCATTGCAGCCCTGGAGCTGCGCAAAAAGTCATTCTCTCAGAGGTCCTACCTCGGTTTCCCAGACGACGTAGGCGCAGGTGGGGCTACTGGCCAACTGCGGGCCCTTCCTCTGCTGGAGCCACCTTCGGGGCGAAAAGAAGAGGCTGTTCGCGCCGGCGCCGCCGCCAGGGGCGCTGCCGAGGGCCGAGGCGGAGGGCGCGCGCGCCAGGAAAGGCAGCTCCCACGCCGTGTGCCGCTTGCCTCGCGGGCTCTCGTACTCGAAGTGGAAGCTGCCCGACGGCGACTTCTCCAGCGGGGTGCTGGGCGTGGAGAGCGAGGAGACGCCCGCGGGCAGCCCCCCGCCGGCCGGGCGCAGCAGAGCGCGCGAAGAGAAGGCCGCCAGGCATTCCGCCGAGGGGCTGCCGCCCGCCGCCCTGGCCCGGGGAGCGCGGGCTGAGGTCTCCCCCGCCGCCGCCTCTTCCTTGCTGGAATGGCCGATGAGCGCTGGGTCCAGGCTGCGGGTCTGGCGGAGCCTCCGCTTGGAGAAGCCTTTGGTGGAGGAGGGCGAGGCAGAGCAGGAGAAGACACTGTTGAGCAGGCTGTGCGCGGACATCTCTGCGGCGGCGGGCCGCCTCTGCCTCGCCTGCCCTGCCCGGCCGTTACCTGGGTAGCCTCTCCGCGGGGACTGAGGCTCCTCAAGCGGGTGTCGCGTCTCCAGCCTTCACGCCCCGGCGGAGGCACGCTAGTGGCGAGAGGCTCATTGCCCGCTCCCGCCAAGGCGGAGAAACAGAGTTCGGCAGTAGGGAGGGGAGGGAGGGAGGGGGGAAGCCGCCGCGCTTGCTTTTTATCCGGCACTGTTGGGAAGCCTGTCAGAGGCGCTCGCGCGCGCTCTCTCTCTCCACCCCCTCTGGGGCACCTCGGCCTTTTGGCTCCTCTTGCCCGGGCCAAAAAAAGGGAGAAATCCCCGGGCAAGAAGGCAACTGCGCGCGCCCCGCTTCCGCTAGGGGGGGATTTGCTGAGCGTGCGCCGGCCTGGTCCGGAGCCGGAGAAGAGTGACTACTCCCCGCTGGAAGCCTAATTTGGCGGCGGCGCGCGGGCACTCCCCCTGCCCTGGAGCCTTCCGGCCCTCCTCTCAAGTTTGACCGTTCCACCTGAAGCGGAGGCTCGCCGGTCGCCGCCTCTCCGCACAGGCTCCAGAAGAGGCGCTCTGGCCCGGCTGGCCGGCCCCGCAAGCACGCCCGCCCGGGAGTTCTGCAATGGGGGGGGGAGGGAGGCAGTTAGCGGCTTGGAAGCTCTTGTCCCGTCGGGGTCCCACAGCTGTTCATTTTCGTTGCGCAGCCGCTTGTGTGTGCGTTGGAGCAGGGCTGGATGCGAGGGAGGATTTCGGTGCGTCTTTCCCCCACCGCTGCCCAATGGTTCTATAAATCGAGGCTTTGGGGGGGGGGAATAATAAAAACTGCTCTCTTCAGGGAAAGATAAGGTGATTATTCTTTGAGGAGCTGATGAATGATAGCTAACAGCAGTTACTCTGATGTGAGCCTTTATAGCAGGGAAATGCCAAGAACCAGCAGAATTAAGAGCAGCAGAAATTATGTTCTTCCTTCCTCTCTTTTACTTGTATTGATGTCTCTCTTTTACTTGTATTGATGTCTGTTGTCTTGAATATCCTCTACTTGTAAGGGCTGCCAGACTAGCTTGCCACAAGACACTCTCAAGGGTGAACCTCACACAGTGGAAAACCAGGTTCATTCCCCTGTGTGCCCCTGCTAGCCTCAGGACGAACAAATAATGTGGGCATTCATCTCCTGACAAGCCAGTGGCAGAGCTTTTAGTGCACACTTCTCTCCCAACCAGTGTTCCCTCTAAGCGGAGTTAGTGTGAGCTAGCTCACAGTTTTTTAGCCTCCAGCTCACAGATTTTTGTGTTAGCTCAGGAAGGATGGCTCCAGAGCAGACTAATTTATGCAGTAGCCAAACCGCTCACTCACAGCTGTAATGCCAGTAGCTCACAAAGTAGAATTTTTGCTCACAAGACTCCACAGATTAGAGGGAACATTGCTCCCAACCCCAGTTGTTGTTTGTTTTAGGCACCTAAACCCCAAATGCAGGCGCATTGCCAGTGCCAGCACAGTACTGGCATAGGGGATCTGTGTCCTGTGATGTCTCAGCAGAGAAAAGATGGTTACAAAGAAAAACCCGACTCCCAAGAATCTGAGAGCACAGGAAGTACAATAGAGTTCATAGTATACCACCCAAAGCTGTACGCTGATGGTCTCTCTCTCTCTCTCTCTCTTCCCTGTCCGCAACCCTGCCTGTCTCAGCAGTATACATAAACAGCCAACCAGTGCATGGCAATACTAAGAGACCTCCCTAAAATCATCCTGCTGTCATTTACAACAAGGGAATGAACAGAAGCCCTTCATTCTAGGAAGGTGGTGGGATCAGAAGGGGCCCAGTAAATGGTTCCATCCCTTCCTTCTTTTGCCTGACCAACACATGGGGAACCAAACTGTGCCACTTCAGCTAAATCACCCAGTTGGCTTCACAGCTCATTCAGGATTTGTGGTTTATAAGAAATCAACAGTGAACACCCCACAGCCTCTCCCAGGGAAGGGTTCCAATCTACAGCAAAGGGGACCCAACACACTAGGGACAGTAATGGGGAGCACACAACTGCATGTCCACAGGAGGCATTCCTGTCACTTCCCCAGTGACTCCCTGGGGGAAAGCACCAATGTGGAGAACAGGAGGAAGGGGCTTGAAACCAAGAAGGAAAGCTGGTACTAGGGCAAAGCTTTCCTTTGTTGTGTGTACCAAGTTAAGGAAGACTGCAAAAAACGGTCCTAGTACTTCTCTACAGCATGCCTGACATGATGGATTCATGTTCTGCATGAGGTTGCTTGCTACTGGATGCCACTGAATGGCACAAGCTACAACTGAGGTTTTGACTCTCAGATCCATCACTTGAGTTGGGGGACTAATGCTGTCTGGCTGCCCCTGGTGCCAATAATTTTTCTCTACACCTTCCCCTATGTCTATCCTTCCACTGCATTCATGAGGTTACTGCCTATTTCTGTTTATTCCTGCTCTCTTTGTTCTCCATCCGTTCTCCCCCACCCCGTCATTCAGAATTCGTGGCTTATAAGAAACCAACAGTGATCTGATCTAGGGATTGCAAAGCTCTTTCTTTAGTTTGCTCTGCCACAATGGTACATACACAGTGATGAATTTAGCCCTCTCCCAGTGTGAGTCCCATATTGAACGTGGCCAAGGTTAGTAGTTGTCAATAAGCAGATGACACTCAGTTCTGTCCAGTGTTCCCTCTTAGCTGAGTTAGTGTGAGTTAGCTCACAGTTTTTTAGCCTCCAGCTCACACATTTATGTCTTAGCTCAGGAAGGATGGCTCCAGAGCAAACTAATTTATGCAGTAGCCAAATCGCTCACAGCTTTAATGCCAGTAGCTCACAAAGTAGAATTTTTGCTCACAAGACTCCACAGCTTAGAGGGAACATTGGTTCTGTCTCACATTTCCAGGTGATCCCAATGGAGCTATAGAAACCCTGAACTGGTGCCTGGAGGCTGTTTTGGAGGGGATGCAACCTAATAAACTCGACACAAGTGCTACTGGTGAGCAGAAGATCTAATCTGGGAATTATGGTGTCATCCATTCTAAGTAGGGATCTACTTCCCTTGAAGGAGCAGGCCCTTAGTCTGGAGCTGCTCTTGGACCCAGACCTAGTGCTGGATAAACAGGTAGCAACTATGACCAGGAGTGCCTTTTACCAGCTTTGACTGGTTAGCCTTTCCTGGGACAGAAAGATCTGACCACTGTGGTGCATATCCTGCTTACATCTAGATTAGATTACGGCAAGCTATTCTATATGGGACTGCCCTTAAGAAGTGTGCAGAAACTTCAGTTGGGGCAGAATGCTGCTCCCAGGTTGGTGACTGGAGTGGGTTGTAGGGACTGTATCACTCCAGTCTTGGCCCATCTACACTAACGTCCAATCTATTTCCAGAAACAGTTCAAGGTGCTGGTGTTCACCTTTAAAACCCAATACGGCATGGGACCAACATTCCTGAAGGACCCATCTGCTCCTTTATGAACCCAGCCAACAGCTATGAACATTTTCTGAGGTCCTGCTTCAGGTGCTGCTGCCTTCTGAGATTAGGCAGGTGGAAACATGGGAGAGGGCTTTCTTAGCCATGGCACCCAAACCCTGGAACACTCTCCCTAGAGAGGCTTGTCTGTTCCCTTCTGTTGCTATCTTCCACCAGCAGGTGAGGACTTTTTTGTTTCATCTGGTGTTCCTTCAGTAATCCCTGTCATATAACAGTTGCTTTTATGTTTGTTTTTATTGTACTGTGTGTGTATTTTAGCTTGGTTTTAATTGTTTTAATTATGTATTTTTGTTTGGTTTTAATGATTTTAAGGTGTGTTTTTACTATGCATGTTTTTAACCTGTTAGCCCTCTGGGTGGTCCTGATCAGGGCAAAAATGAAGGGTGAATGAAGGAATGAATAATGTGAAGGGACTGGAAATCAGTTCTTATCTACCAAAGCCTAACCCAATAGAGACTCAACTGATTGGGCTTTATTGAGAACTAAATTAGGAAAGCAAGTCAGCTGAATAGGGATGCCCAGTCTCTTGGTGTAATACATCTCCTGTTCCTTTGCCTTAACAGACTGTAGAAGCGCTGATAGAGCTGTCATGATTACTGTATGCCTATGAGAGAGAAGACTGTGCTAGTCAAATAACTAAATGCCTTGCAATGGTACAGGAGCCAGGCTAGAGCAAAACTGCTGGCAACCCACAAGTACAGCAGCTAGATGCACACTGGTCACTGCAACAGTGCAGCTGTTGGTCATGTCAGAGCCTCAGCAGGTGGTTGGCACTTCATTGTGAATTATAAGCCTCCTTGGAAAGCAACCTAAAAAGATCCAAAGGAGACACAAGGGCAGCATTGAGTGATGTTAGCAGTAACAGCAAATAGGCTCAAGCCTTCTCTACAACAGGGGTGTCAAACATGCAGCCCGGGGGCCAGATCAGGCCCTCAGAGGGCTGCAATCCAGCCCACAAGGTCCTGGCTGTTTCCTGCTTCCTTTTCCAGTTCTGCCGCTGCTACTACATCACAGCTTACTTTCCCAGACTCAATCACACAGGAGAGTTAGGCTAGCCTCTCCTGTGCGATTAAGAGAGTCTGATAAAGCACTGACTGAGGTTCCTCCCAGGGGGAGGGAGGGAATCAGCAAGAGCTTGCTTCCTGGCCAGACTGCCTCAATAGTATACAGGAAACAAAGGGAAGCCTTTCCTTCCATTGGCTGAGGCTCCTCCCTGCAGGGAGGGAGGGAGGGAGGGAGGGAGAGCTGGCTATGCTGGGCTGCCTCAATTGCACAGGATAAATACCAGGCACCTTTAAGACCAACAAAGTTTTGTTCAAGGTATGAGCTTTTGTGTGCCTCGCTACAGTGTGTGTGTATTCTGTTGGGCTCCTTATGCCAGGGCTCTCCTGGGTGGAACTAGGTTCCCTCCCCCTTTTCACTCTATTCATGCCCTCATGATTCAGTCATTCTCAGTAAGAAAGCAATGTGAACTATTTTAGAGGAGGGATAA